AAAAAAAAGAACGAGCACTTATTTGGACAGTTGCTTAATAATGTTCAAATTCAAAGCATGTTATGTTATTTATTACATTCATATTATGTAATCTGAATTTATGTATAAATTTTTGGTGCTTCTTTGTTTCGCATAATTATACTTTTATGCTCATGTATGTCTTCTAAAAAGAAAGGTCCAAAGTCGTCTTCATTTTTCTATTGGGAATAAATATGAATTCCTCCTTCCTATGGAGGTTTTCTCCTAAACACACACCTACAGACATGGTGTTTTTTATGATAGTTAAAAAGAGGTTTGTTCTGTGTGTTTCAATCAAATACATTAGTTCTTATGCCAATTTTTAGGTGAAGTAGCTAGGACTAGAAGCTATGATTAGCTTGACTATTGATTGAGTGTTCGAATTGTAAATAAAAGCATGAAGCGTCACATTGTCTTAGACTTTAAGTTATCAATTCTCAAATGGAGGGTACTATACCACAAGGTAAAGCAATATGGGACCCCGAGACTGTGGATCTGTTTTGTGATTTGTGTATTATAGAGGTTGAAGCTGGACGCCGTCTTGGAACTCATTTTGATAAAGCTGGATGGGAAAATTTAATTCAGAAATTTAATGAAACAACCAAACGAGTATATAAAAGATGATAATTGAAGAATAAATAGGATGCTTTGAAGAATGATTGGAAGCTTTGGAAGGAACTTATTAGTAAAGAAACTGGTATAGGTTGGAACATTAAGAAGAATACTATTAATGCATCTGAGGAGTGGTGGCATAATAAATTGCAGGTATACATAATTACGTGGTTTGCCATTGTTTATTCTAGTGTTGGACTAGGCAGATTTAATTTATTCAAGTGCTCTTGCAAATTCATCCCAACGCATCGAGGTTTCGCACTTGGAGAATTGAACCACAATTAGAAGAGAAGTTAAATAGGATGTTCATGAATACTGTGGCCACATGAGTGCATTCTTGGACACCATTATCTGGACAGGTGCCATGTGAGTCTGATAAAGCTGGAAATGATAATTCTACTCTACCTAAACAACTTGAGAGTAGTGGCGAGTCAGGTGAACCAGTCCGAAGTGAAGTGGCACAAGACCGTAAGAATAAAAGGCCAATTGAGACAGATGAGAGACAAAAGAAAGTCAAGAAAGGAAAAGGAAACTTGAAGGTTGGAGGAGCTGCTAAATTGTCTCAACAAATTGATCGCCTTGTCGATATCTTTGAGAGTAGAAGTACCGGATCATCAATTGCGCAATCTGATGCTGGAAACTATAACATAACAAGCGTTATTGAAGTTCTAGATTCATTACCAGGATTATATTGGTAGCAAGTTGTATTTCTTTTTTGTCCACTTGTTGTTAGACAAGAATAAGATAAAGGCATTTATGGCTTTTAAGGAACCTGACTTGAAGCTCAATTGGCTTAAGTTTGAACATAGGCTAGGATCCTCCACTTAGATTTCCATTCCTTATTTCTTTTTAGTGCAGTTTTCTTGTTGTATTGATGGTTGAGACATTATTATTTTCTTTTAGTATGGTCTTCTTGTTGTATTCATATTGGAGACATTGTTGTTTTCTTTCAGTATGGTTTTCTTGCTTTATGTACAATGACATTTCGTATTACAACTCGTATGTGAGTCTGATTATTTTAATTGCATCATATTGAATGGCAGGTTTATTGTTGTTGCCAAAAATGACTAACAATGATGATGAGTTCGATCTACAACTTGTATGTACCATTGCTTGACTCATTGAATATTACTATAACATGTATGTTCATAAGAATCCGTGTATGAACTCTTCACAAACTGAAAACATGTGGGTGACGAAATTATTAAGAGGGCATGAAATTAGAAGTTATAGGATGTTTATGTTGGTCTCCGAATCGAATTCGGATGCGGAAGCATGGTGGTGCGGGGAGAGGCAGATCGTGTATAACAAAAATTTTCATAAAACTTTTGAGATACTCTATAGAATATATTAATTTATACACGAATAAATTAATCTCATTAATTCATTTATTAAGAACTCAATCAGGAAAAATACCTGGAAGCCGACTCGGATGATAACTTGAGTTCTTTGACCACGAACAGTCCTTGCTCCAATCTTTGTATTTAGAAAACCAATGTCTTTCACGTCAATTCCTAGAATCCATGAAGACGTGTGTGTGGGCACACATGAGACAAAACGGGTTACAATAAACACTCGAATTTCTACAAACACCATCACATGCACGATGTGGAATTTTTGGAGAAAAAATGTTTCCTTCTTTCTATAGAGAAATTTCGGCCACCTCTAAAATTAGGGTAAAACCCCATTCCGAAAATTGTCTCAAAAATAGTATTTATAGAGTAGAAGTCAAACTTCTAGAAAGAATCCAATCTCTATCTCCAATTTGAATTTTGGACCAAAATTCTCCTCTATCCCTTATCCCTTGTGGCCGGCCATGTTAGGGATTCCCATCCCTGTGTGTGGCGCCAATACTGGATAGGGAATGAAGAGAAAATCATCCTTTATCCTGTAGTCCAATTTTATTTCAAATTCAAATTCGAATTTAAGTCAAACTTAAATTAATTTAAATTTCTAAATTGAACAACTTATCAAATAAGTTTAAATGGATAAATCTAGATGTGTTCAAATTCAAATTTAAATAATCACATTATTTA